GGAGAAACACTACACGCGATAAGCCGCAGCCTCGCTCATTTCGTATGCAGCGCCGCTCGCGTTTGTAGCTTGTGTCTCAAGGTAGCTGTATCGCTATACATACTAAGCCACTCTCGGCGAGCTCAAAGGAAGGCGATAGCGAGTGACTTGAGGCACACACCCAAGTGCCCGTTTGTACCATCAAACTTTGTTGTGGGCTAATCATCAACAAGTGATTTCTCATATCTGTAAAACTTTACGCCCTTCCTATGCCGTCAACCAGGTACACTGTAGTACCTGGCAGTTTGCTTATTCTGCTGTGAAATCTAAAAAAGAGCGCGTAATAAAAGTGGAGTTCTAGAAGACTGAAATCACCAACAAATTTGTGGCATGTGCATGTGCATGTGCGTGCGTGCGTGCGTGCGTGCGTGTGTGTGTGTGTGTGTGTGTGTGTGTGAGAGAGAGAGAGAGAAACGTATACGTGACTTTGGTAATGAAATGTTAAAAGCACGGAGTGTTCGGGAGCTTGCAAGGCATGATCAAAAAATTAGGCGACCCTAAAGTTACGCCTTTAGGAGCTGAACTCTATAGTTATATCCTGTTCCTAGTGTGTATACTTCAAACACTTAGTGCATGAAACCTTTTCGACTTGTACCCACGACGAGGCCTTCAGAAAATTGCCGCAGTAGTTTGTGTGTGCTTTTTGTAGCAGGCTACCGGCTTTAAACCACACAGTCATTACGGTAATCATATGTTCTGACTCCTGATTTCAATGGGTGCTTGCACCACGCATTATTACGGCAATATTTTATGTTGCATCGTGAAAAATGTATACAGGACGCGTGTACGTGTTTGTAAGCATGCAAGCTATTTTCACTGCATTTCCCAGTAGAGCATTTTATTTCACTGTATTCAGAAGCAGAGGCGTCGTCGTGACATCTCTATACGCCAAAGCAAATGTTACGATTTCGAATACGCATTATAATAAATACCATAAAATAAAAAAGAGGCATGACCGTGTGGTAGAACATCCGCTTGCCACTCCAACGATCCGGGTTCGGTTTCCACTCTGACCCAGGGTTTTTTATGCACTTATTTTAGTTGCATGGTTCTCGATTTTTCGGTCACGCATAAGATAATAATTTTTCGCTCAAAACCAACGCCGCTGACAGTGACACCGATGCCGGTGCCGTAATCTCTGCGAAACGAGCTTTTTTTAACGCTATCGCGTTAATAAACGCACAGCGCCGAAAGACGAGGACATACCAAGAGATCAAACAGGAAGATCGCTGTCCTGTTTTTCCGTCTTTTTTTGTAAGGCTCGTGTTTTAGCACTGCGTATTTATGATCATCGTCGCAAGAGACGAGCCTCAGCATGACGTGAGGCCGGTGATTCGCTTGAACGATGATGGCAATGAAAAGCAGCGCCCTTGTGAATTGATGAAAATACTTCGAACGCTTACTGCGGCAGCTTGGGCTAGTTGGTATGGCATGACGATAGTTATAGCGCGAGAACAAAATGACGACACAGAGACAAGAAGGACTCGTGTCTTTCGTGTCCTTCTTGTCTCTGTGTCGTCGTTTCGTTTTCACGCTATAACTATCGTTACTGCGCAAAGCTAGGCACGGTCACACGCTCACACCACGACGCCTTGTTGCGAGTCTTCTACGCTTTTCTAAACAGATGCGCAAGTTCTGCCCCTCTCCCGTAGCCCGCTCAAGCTCGCTGAGCACGGAGAGCGAGAAACTAAAGGTTGCAATAAGGCTAGGCATTCGATGAGAAGGGCCCAAGTTGTGCAAATGATAGCGCGGTAGCGACAGTCAAAATGCGGTCGCCCTATCCCAATCACCATTTAGAAAAAAAAAAAGAAAGAACACCTAACCTGCTATGCTACTTTCTCCGCTTCACCAACTCTATATCGTCCTACGACACGCGTTCATTTTTCATCATCATGAAGCATGGATTACAGTCGATGGCAGCGCTCCCACGCAACGCGTGATTTACTTCAAAGCTTCGCAATAGAATAATACTCGCACTTCGCTTAAGGAACGTGGGCCTAAAGTCGCTGGTGTAAGCTATATATGTAGTCGTAAGTATACGCGGGAAATTTTACCTGGGTATATTTAGAACATGCGCCATCAAGTTTCAAAATAGAAAGGAGAAAAAGGAAGTTTTGCGGAAAATACTTCAGACATCTTTCAGCAACTTTCGGAAGTGTAAATCAAGTAGGTTCAAGATAAGACGAGCGAAACTTGTTTTTGCAACTGTCATATTTTGTTTGATTTCAACTAAGGTGTTCCTGTGCCTGAGACATTTCTGTTCGAACGGTAATTTGTCATCGTTACCCGTCTTTCTAGATCAGTCGCAGAAGTTCGTAACGTGTACCTTTCTGCTTACATGAAATTCTTTATTTTGCTGAGTGTTAAATCTTACGTACGATTGCTTTCACAAGAGTTTTGAAGTGGAATTGTGGATTGTGGAATTTTAAAAAATAGCTAATTAAGAATTAATAATTATTAGTATGGGGAGAAAAAATTGCCCAAGTACCTACAGGCTAGTGGGAGTAGTATGCGTTTGGTGCAAATCGCCTCCTAAGTTCCTTTCATTTTCAAATTCTTAAATTCTTGGCTCAAGTTATGTGGAACACCTTATATATATATATATATTATATATATATATATATATATATATATATATATATATTATATATATATATATATAATATATATATATATATTATATATATATATATATATATATACATGGGGTGGCCTGCGAACGGTTTGTACAGCTCTGCGAGCAATTGGTATGTAGTTCGAAAAAAAAAGCCGCCCAGCTGTTCCCGCGGGGGGAACGTGAATGTTTCGTAATTGGGTATGATTTGGGAATACTAAATAGCTAATTAGCTAATCAGCTCTACTTCAATTAGCTCTACACGTGGCTTCATACGGATTGTGTTTCAATGAATGCGTTGCGCTACCTTCTGGAAGTAGCTCTCGAGTTTTTAGTATCTTCTGCACACAAAATGGTCCGTGGTCAAGTTTATTCAAAACCATCCGGAGCTGGCATCTAAAGGTTGCAATAAGGCTAGGCATTCGATGCGAAAGACCCAAGTTGTCAAATGATAGCGCGGTAGTGACTGGTTACCCCAGGCAGTCAAAATTTCCGGAGTCCTCCACTACGGCGTCTCTCATAATCAAATCGTGGTTTCGGGACGTTAAACCCCACAAATCAATCAATCAGTCAATTGGTAGCAACAGTCGAGATGCAGTCACTCCATGCCAATCATCATTTAGAAAAAAAAAACAAAGAACACCTAACCTGCTATGCTATTTTCTCCGCTTCACCAACTCTATACCGTCCTACGACACGTGTTCATTTTTCATCGTCGTGGAGCATGGATTACAGCCGATGGCAGTGCTTCCACGCAACGCATGATTTACTTCGAAGCTTCGCCACGAAAATAACATACTCGCGCTTCGCTTAATGAACACATGCCTAAAGTCGCTGGTATAAGCTATATGTGTAGTCGTTAGTATACGGGAAATTTTACCTGGGTATGTTTAGAACGTTCGCCGTTAAGTTTCAAAATAGGAAGGGAAAAAAAAGGAAGTTTTGCGGAAAATACTTCAGACATCTTTCAGCAACTTTTGGAAGTGTCAAGTAGGTTCAAGATAAGACGAGCGAAAATTGTTTTTGCAACTGTATTTCTTTTTTTGATTTCAACTAAGGTGTTCCTCTGCCTGAGACATTTCTGTTCGAAAGGTAATTTGTCATCGTTACCCGTCTCCCTATAGATCAGTCGCAGAAGTTCGTAACGAGTACCTTTCTGCTTCCATGAAATTCTCTATTTTGCTGAGTGTTAACCCTTACGTACAATTGCTTTCAGAAGAGTTTCGAAGCGGAATTGCGGAATTTTAAAAATAGGTAATTAAGAATTAATAATTATTAGTTGGGGAGAAAAAAAATTGCCCGAGTACCTACAGGCCAGTGGGAGTAGTATGCGTTTGGTGCCATTCGCTTCCTAAGTTCCTTTCATTTTCAAATTCTTGGCTCAAGTTATGTGGAACACCTTATATATATATATATATATATATATATATATTATTATATATATATATATATATATAATATATATATATATATATATATATATATATGGTGTGGCCAGCGAACGGTTGTGCAGCTCTGCGAGCAATTGGTATGTAGTTCGAAAGAAAAAAACCGCCCAGCTGTTCCCGCGGGGGGAACTCATGTAAATGCATCGCAAAAGTGGGGGGAGGGGTATCACGTGAATGTTTCGTAATTGTGTATGAGTTGGGAATACTAAATAGCTAATTAGCTAATTAGCTCTACTTCAATTAGCTCTACACGTGTCTTCATACGGATTGTGTTTCAACTAATGCGCTGTGCTACCTTCTGGAAGTAGCTCTCCAGTTTTTATATATGCCTCAACGAAGGAAGGATGCACGTGAGCTGCGAGTATTTAGCTCGAAAATGAAATGATGATATCCAATGACCTGCTTGTGTTGCAGGAAAGCATGAATAGTTGGAAATTTCAGAAATAGAATTTACATCTACTGTGGGGACAAACATATAAAATTATTATGCCTGTTAATGAGGCTGGAACAAGATGCGCTGTTTCATCATCTGTGGAAGAGCAAGTGGTACACTGCTGCACACCAGAATGGGTGGTTTTAATGGTGACCTTATATTTCTTATATTTCTGTGCGTGTGTGGGCAAGCTTCTGGACTGGATGTCCCTGAAGTAGCTAGCGATAAGTAAATTACAAAGAATGCGCCATTGGGACAATGTGGAGAGCACGAGTGATTCTGCTCTTCTGGAATATATCGCTAACCAAAAAATTAAATACCCTGAGTAAAAACGGTAGCCCTCACAAAATTTAGAAACACTCATCTCTTCTTTTAAGTTTTGTGTTGCATATTTTGACCCGATCATTGATTTATATGACGGTGTGATATGCAATTTATATGGGCTAAACTCCGCCTGAGGCCATACGTCCCGTGTCGCCGTAGTCGTCGCAGTAGCCAGCTGCATTGCATTGCATGTCGTCAAAAACGGTGTCACAGCATATCCACGGAGTGAATGATGATGAGTGGGGCGAAGAATTAATCAGTTCGTCCATGCGTCCATTTCAGGCGGCCTCGACTAGTGCTTCTGAACGATGTTGAGCTTCCATACGTCGGTGGACGAGGCACTGACGTTTGCCAATTCCTCGTTGGTCTTACGCACGCGCACTTGTATTGCACGAGGATGGGTAGCGGAGACCTTCGCCCCACGTGTCATCATTCACCCCGTGGATATGCTGGGAATTTTTTTATGGGCGAAGCTGATTGATTCATATGTGGGGTTTAACGTCCCAAAACCACCAATTGATTATGAGAGACGCCGTAGTGGAGGGCTCCGGAAATTTTGACCACCTGGGGTTCTTTAACGTGCACCCAAATCTGAGTACACGGGCCTACAACATTTCCGCCTCCATCGGAAATGCAGCCGCCACAGCCGGGATTCGAACCCGCGACCTGCGGGTCAGCTTTATGGGCGAAGCTGCTTATGCCGAGGGTCGTGCGTCCGCGTAGTAGTAGTAGTAGTAGTAGTAGTAGTAGTAGTAGTAGTAGTAGTAGTGTAGTAGTAGTAGTAGTAGTAGTAGTAGTAGTCATCGTAGTAGCCAGTTGCATTGCATTGCATGTCAATAAAAACTGTACGGATAAAAGCACGGACGCACGGATAAAAGCACGGACGCACGCTCGGACGGACGGATGCACGCAACGTACGAACCCACGGACAGACGGACTGACTGACGGACGCATGGAAGGACATACAGACAGGCAACGCACGGACGGATGGACAGACACACGGATGGTCGGACAGACAGAAGAATGCATAGATAGACAGATGGACAGACAGATGGATAGACAGATGGACAGACAGATGGACGCACGCATGAACGGACGGACGCATGGACGGTTGTACAGATGGACGCACGTATGTTCACACGGACGGACGAATGGGTGGACGGACGCACCGACGGACGGACGAAAGCAAGAACCAATGGACGGACGGAAGCACGGACGGACTGATGGATGCTTCGCTCCACTCATCTTCATTCACTCCGTGGACATGGTGCGATTGTTTTATTTTAGTGTTTTCTTAATACCATCCAAAAATGTTTGTGAAACGACAAGTTACTCGACTTAGAATACTTCACTTCGGAAACACGCTTACGTTTTTGGTGCAGGCCATAAAAATCAGCATTCCACCTTAAAAGAACCTTGCACTCTCAGCAAGGATGCGAAACTACAGCTTCAAAAGCGGTGGCGTTTTCTTGAAGTGTGGTGACATACAGGAATGCCGTTATATGATCAGTATATCCAATCGGATGAAGCTACAGGAAGCACTTCGCGAATGATTAGCCGCGAAAGGCGCAGTCTCTGCACTGTCACATCGAGAAGCTAAAAAAAAAAAAAGAGAAACGCAAAGCCGAGATAGAGGTCCTCAAAAGGGACGAGATTTTCCTTTCCTCGGCAACCTCTGTAGGTGATGTCAGTTAGGTTCAATGCCGCAAATCAATTTGAGACAGGCAGCAGCGCACAGCGGTTATACTGCTTCGAAAGAACGAAACAGCTAATGCACATTCAGAGTTGGTGGAGCAAGGCACAAATACTTTCTTCTTGTTTTCGATATCTCCGGTGTAAGAGACGTTTTTAGTCTAACAGGAGGAAAGACATAAAAGAGAGCTATCGTGAAAAGACAGTCTTCCTTTAGAAATGATTTGAACCACACGACTCAAACGCACTTCCAAAGAAGTCCGCGAGTCGGCGTTACTTTGAGCTGCTCAGCTCAAAGCCCGGAAAACTGCCATTTCATCCATGAGACTCCGTAGAAAGAGAAATTGTTCATCGAAGAAAAAAAGAAGGAAGTCCTAATGCAAGATACACAAAAGGAGCAACTTGAACGAAATGAGCGAGGGTATGTTAAGGAGCGCAAAAGAAATAAAAAAGAAGAAAAAACTCGGTGCCTAAATGAAAATGTTTTCACTTTTTAAACAGCCTAACCACCTTGATCTTGCCGCTATGTCAACGCCACATACAAAAAGTAGATCTAGAAGCACGTTAACGAGCCTAGCGCCTAAAGAAATCTTTGCGAAGGAATGAAGGAAAAAAAAAGTAGATGGCTCCGTTACAAATGTCGCTGTCTGAGGCAGACAAGAAAAAAAAAGAGGGGGGGGGGGGTAAAGAAGTAGCCTAGCTTGCGCTAGAGGTGCCACAATCAGCGGAATTGATAGGCAACTTCCCGCATCTGGCATATCTCGCTTCCTATATCTACCTATTTCTCTTCCTGTCTACTAATGAGAGCTAACAGACAATGATGCCAAGGAAAGTATTTATAGGGCATGTTACTAGAAGCGATTGTAATGTAAATGGGAAGAAAGTAATATGAACAAAGACATGAGGGAACGAACCTGCCGGCGGTAAGTTATTTAAAAAAAGAAGAAAAAAACTCGGTGCCTAAATGAAAATGTTTCACTTTTTAAACAGCCTAACCACCTTGATCTTGCCGCTATGTCAACGCCACATACCAAAAGTAGAACTAGAAGTACGTTAACGAGCCTGGCGTCTAAAGAAATCTTCGCGAAGGAAAAAAAAAGGTAGATGGCTCCGTTACAAATGTCGCTGTCCGAAGCAGACAAAAAAAAGGGGGGGGGGGGGGGTAAAGAAGTAGTCTAACTTGCGCTGGAGGTGCAACAAACAGCGGAACTGATGGGCAACTTCCCGCATCCGGCATTTCTCGCTTCCTATATCTACCTATTTCTCTTCCTGTCTACTGCTGAGAGCTAACAGATAATGATGCCAAGGAAAGTATTTATAGGGAATGTTACTAGAAGCGATTGTAATGTAAATGGGAAGAAAGTAGTATGAACGAAAACATAACTTGTCGCCAGGAGGGAACGAACCTGTCGGCGGCAAGTTAATTTTTCATCCACTTTTCTTTATTTCCCATTTGCATTACAATTACTTCGAGTAACATCCTCTATGTATACTTTCCTTCGCATCATTGTCTGCTACTTCTCATTAAGCTATTGTCACGTTGTATGGGGTAACACATGCTCTGACAACTTGAAAAAACTCAGTGTATGCCAAAAGCGAGAAATTCGTGCTATAGCTACACGATGCGTGTATTCGTGTATGCTACTCACACTGCTCCTTATTTTGAAGCATTCAATATACCTAAAGTTAAACTGACCTACGCGTTTCGTCTTTCCTGTGCATATCGTCTCGCCATCCATAAGGACCAACAACATATACTTCATCATTTCGTTTCGCCTAACAAGATGTCACTATGCATGCGACACAAGAATTCGGGACCTCTGGTTCCTGTCAATATTATGTAGAACTGACTATACGGAAATCAGTTGGTATCATTCCAACTAGCTGCACTTTTAAGTAGATACTCTAAATATGGCGTATCTGCTGAGACGGTTTCAATACGCACCCTTCACTCATTTTTATCGGGTGATGATAAAAGTTTGTTTTATCACTAGCATCTCGCTGTGATAGTCAGATGCGTATGCGTATCTGTTCTGCGCAGAGCACTCTCTTTGCCTTCATTATTTTTTATTTTTTATTCTCTTTCTGTTGTGCTTGAATTGCCTTCATAGTACTCTGTTAGCCAAAATTGTAAATTTATGTTGTATCTATTACAATATTTTCAATTGCGATTGTACCTTTTTTTTACCCTCCTTTATTCTTCTAAATCACATGACTGTGTCTCTTTACGAATGATGATTCTTAAAAAAGCAAATATTTTGTTGTTTAACCTAGTTTTTACTATATGTTGCCACTACCTATATTAGTGCACTGAATTCAAATGTTATATTTCTAGCAAAGTTTTTTTTTTCTACTTGACTATTTGCTGTTGCACTTTGTAGGTAGCTGGAGCTTTGTCAAGGTGCAGTACTGCGGCTTTTCCCCCCGCCAGCCCCATATTTCCCATGGAAAAATAAAAACTGATTGATTTATTGATTATTGCTGTGTCTAACAAGCTAAACGAGCCCTTAAATGTGCGCTTCATTGCATCTGCCTGTTGATAACATGTCTTAGTCATTGATTATTTCTGCTTTTATACTATTTCTTGGCTCTGTGCTGGTGCGTGACGATTACAGCGTCAAGCGTTAAAGAACCCCAGGTGGTCGAAATTTCCGGAGTCCTCCACTACGGCGTCTCTCATAATCATATGGTGGTTTTGGGACGTTAAACCCCACATATCAATTATTACACCGTCAAGGGCGTGTGGACAGTCCGTTGTGCGCAGCTTGTGGCTCCTGCGAAACACTTGAGCATCTCGCAGCGCACTGTCCCATATTTGCTACGCAGTGGTCTTTGTGGATTAAGGAATATAATTTCCTAGGACTTGAGCGCGCAACGCTAAGCGACTACCTCTTTCCCAGCGGTTGTGCTTCCCGACGCGACCAGGCCCACCGAGCTCTCCTTACAATTATGAACCAAAGGGACCTGGCCACCCGTTTATAGACGGTGTTTTATTTTTTTAATTCGAAGCATTTTTAGCGAACTTCGGCGACTTTGAGCGTATCTATATATCTATCTATCTATCTATCTATCTATCTATCTATCTATCTATCTATCTATCTATCTATCTAATCTATCTAGCCGCCTATGACTTTTAGCTCTCCTGGTCATTTGGATAATGGTATCAATACCAAATTTGGTATGGCATAACATGACTATATGACGAGCATACATATATTTGACTAGTCATAACATGAAAATCATGACATTTATTACATGAATGTTATGATTTACATTTCATGGTGTCACTGCTCTTATATGCTTATATGCTTGAACGACAGTGGCACCCACATTGAAATGAAAATAATATTAGAATATAGAAGGTACGATGATTACACTTCTTGCGCCTTACCGACGAAACGGGCACGCTCTCACTTATTAGAGTGCACACAAATATGGAAGGCGAAATGCTTGCGTATATTGTGTAGGCATACGTACAGACGCAATCACACTTGTCTAG